CAGCAGGGGTCTCTCAAATTGGAAATTGGAGGTACAATAAATCTAAGATTGCTTCCCTCCCTGTAGAGTCCCGAAAATGGCTGCAGGGGAGATATTAGAGAAAGGGCTGAGAAGGAGAGTTAGATGGATAGAAGGCAGAGGCAGAGAGAGGAGGAAAGAAAGACTAAAGAAAGGAAATAAAGAGCGATATCATAAAAGATGAAGCGAATTGTAGAAAAAAGGAGAGAGAGATAGAGTTAATGGACCCTTGTTCACTTTAGCCATCAGGGCCTGAAATAGCCATTTTACCAGCAAAGGGTTCTCTGGTGTGTGTGTTAGGTCGGTTCGCATGTTCATGTCAGTGAACGTGTATGGCTCTGGGTGCACATCTGTGCTTGCAGATGTGTCACGGAATTCACAGCATGGCCTTATACTTTGTTACGTATTCCTCCAGTCATTAGGGGAGAGCACTGATTGGCTACACCTAACTGTGAAATGCCAAAATCCCATGAACATGTATTCATTGAAAATGAGAAGAGATGTGCCAATGTGGTAGCAGCTAATCGGTCACCCACATGAACACAGTACTGACAGTGTTTCTCTGTCTGACATCTCCTGACATGAAAAGCAGGAGTTAGATTATAATCTCAGTGTGTAACTAGGTAACCAAATCTCAGAGATGGCAAGATGCATGTCCAATTGACTGGCCACAATAATGGAATATAACAAACTCATATGAAATTACTGTGGGTTGTCACATCTTACAGTTCTGATATGTTTAGAAACCATTTTAGGAAACCAAGGATCATGCTGAACATTTGATCTCTGTAATAGCTTTTAGGCACACTCAAACATACAGTTGACACAGTTGGCTCATTAACATTTGAAACTATTTTGAATGTTTACAATACAGACTCATATAATAATATGGGGTCTATCTGAATGTGTTAGCACATGTCATCCAACCTGGCTAATGACCCCCCTGCCAACCTGGGCATACCAGTATCGGCCTTTAATTTGAGAGCGTGGTCTTTCAATTTGAAAGCATGGCTCATTGATTTGGCAGACAGATGTCGTAATGTTTTCCCTCAAAACCTACACTCACACTCAGGTAGACCCTTCTTGCGCTTCGATTTCCTCTGCTTCTGCTTAAACTGTAGCTCTAGCGCTAAGATATATTGTTGTTTGCACAGATTTCGCACTCAGGTTGCTTCTGTACGCTTGTGAAACATCTGCTCTAAGATTTCTCTCCTGCTTTCTGATTTTTTTTTGCCAATAACCCTGTCAAAATCACCCAACCAATAGAAAATTTTTTCACAGATGAAAATTTGAAAATTAAGGAATTTAGAAATATTATCCTGGCATCCTTTTTTCTCAAACTGTCATAAACACAGGAGAGAAAACAATTCAGATCAAACTAACGGGTCAACAGAATGGATTTCCTAGCGCTCTCATTCTAATAAATGTTTTGTTTTACAAAAAAACACAATCATTTCTGTTTTGCTCTATAAATGTGTCATTTCAATAAATAATGGTGTTGTTTTTTCTGGTACGGACATTGTCTTTAAATATGCCAAAAATAATGATAGCTACACATTAGGGGTGGGATCCCAGGGTACCTCATGTATAATATGATACACGATACATGGCTCATGATACCGATAATATCATGATACAGCAATTCTGCGATAATCAATATATTGCTAGACAATATCTAACTATGAATACAAAATACCTGTTAAAAGGTTATGTTTTCTCTATTTATTTCCTGCAAATCCAAACTGCTGGGAAAGAGCATGATTCTTCATCACACGTTTTTCAGTCTGTAGATTAAAATTACAGAACTATAGAGCAACTATGAAAAAATATTATAAAAAACATTTCTTTATAAAAGTCACATAAAAATGCAAATTAACTGAATTTACTGAATTTTTGCTGAAAATACAAATTGCTGTGTACCACCTATGTCTAATATGTAAATCACTTTATATTGATAATTGTTCAGTGACTCAGTACTGTGCTGCCCTTTCTCCACCAAGTGATATGACCCAGCTGTATTTCTAGGCCACTGGGAGTTTTATGTTTGACCTTTTGGGGTTGCTGTAGCTAGTCAGTGCGGAGTGCTGAAGCAGCAAATTGCAGAGCAAGCCAGTGAAGTTAGCAGCTCTTTTTTATTTCACACAGAACACAGGAAACCTATGTACTTTAAGTTTTGCACAATGTGTAGTTTATGTTAAGATTACATTATCGCGATGCTAACATCTTTTAGCATATTATTAGAGAAACCCGGAGAAACCTTATTTTAATCCATCCAAATACTCAAGCGTAGTGCTGAATTTCAATGTCTACCATTGGGTCAAATAATAATCTCAAGAGTAGCCTACTACCACTGTGGAACAAGCTAATCCAAATGTGTTAGTGTTGTTGTAATAACACATAAATGACCTCTAGCATTAAATATATATATATATATATATATATATATATATATATATATATATATATATATATATATATATAATATATATATATATATGTGTGTGTGTGTGTATATATATATATATATAAACGTATACACAATAACATTTTGCTAAGTGCCTCAGAGCAAATTTATACTCACGTTTCCATTGCAATGAGATTATAACTGTTTCATCCAGTACTGGCTATGCAGAGCTAGTGTAACTGCAAGCATGATGAGAAAGGACAACTGGGTATTTTCTCATTCTCACATGCACGAGCCAGGCTATTAAACTCATATCAGCAGAGGCTCACGGGATTAGCATATCTGGGTGAGATAAAGAAGCAGACGATGGTTACTTAACTTTGACTTACTGTCCCCCATCTGCCTCTTTCTATCTTTTTCTCCTGCTGTCTGACTGTCTTTGTCATTCCTGCTTTCTATATAAGTGGATGGGTTTTTATTTTTACCCATGCTCATTCTTTCTCATTTTATGACTAATTGTCTTAGTATCTGTCTTTCTCTCTGTTTCTCTGTACTGCTCTGTTTCTCTCTTGTTTTTCGTCCCTCACTCTCCCCCCCTTGCGTTTGGCAGATGATGATATCAATGGAAGCACATCCGTGTGACAATAAATTTCTTATCATATTGCATCCACCATGAGGCTGGGGATTATCTATTTGTGCAATAAACTGGCCTGTCTCTCAATGCACACCACTGACACTGCAAATCAAGGACATCTACCAAAAAGTAAATTTACAAAGTCCACCTGCACACAGAGACACACACACACACTCACAAAAACATAGGCACAACAGAGGACACATATACTGTAAATACATAGCATTACTCACACTAATACACATGTCCAACACACACAGACACAGGGATAAACAAAGTTTATACCCAATGCTTAAGAAATGTCACGGGTATGTATATGAGATAGAGAGCCGTGACATTCTATTCCCATTTTTGGAATTTTGGATTATCCAGATAAGGATGAGATGGAAAAACGTTGCATGGTGTCTACACAGCATATCAGCATGGTTTAAATGGGATATTTCTTAGTCTCATAGTTTCCATGCATGTGTAAAATACCAATTGCTTTTCTGAGGTTAAAATACTGCATTTTCAATCCAATGGAGCACTGCAATATGGTTTATTCTGTATACAACTTGTATTTCAGTGAATTACAAATAAAATTATAAATATAAAATATGACAGTTTGCAATGAAATACACACATTAATACACATTTTACACTGGTTATCATCATCCCCATCATGCATTTATTCAGTATCATGTGACACTTTGCTACAACCTATTACTTAAGTTAGACAAAAATCTATGTTGGAAAAACTCTAAACTCTCTTTAGTGAACTTAACAGAATAGTGATCACTGGTGGCTGCAGAACACACTTCTGTAGAACAATGTTGAGCAGTTACTCACGCCTGATTGGGTATAGAAGTATTAGCAACAAAACATACTTTGTGAAGTATCAAAAGGAAAAGTACACATAATGCAGAGTGGCTACTGTGAGCATAATACTATTATATTATTGGATCATTATTATTGATGTGAATATGTAAGCTCTACTTAATGTTAATTTTAACTACTTCATGTACTTTTGGTAGTTTAATCTGTAACAATGGATCATATTTTATAAAGTTAGCGTATGTAAAACCTTAAATTTAAAAATTAACCAGTAACTTAAATATAGTGAAAAGTATAACATTTCTCTCTTAAATGTAGCATGTAGTATAAAATAGCACGACATGGAAATACTTAAAGGCTAAATTCAGCACATTTCATGTGGATGTCCAGTCAGTGTTGATGGTAAATGCAGTCCATTGAGGCAATAAATTCCTTAGTGTATGTTATATTGACAGAGAGAGCGGAGTTCGCCAAGTAGTTCTTCCTGCATCCAGCACCATCATTTTACATGCCAGTGACGTAGTTGGTGGAGCAGAAGAACTACAAACTACTTCAGCTTGGATTTCTAGCTTCTTCCCCTGGGTAGCCAGGGGGTGAGCTCTGTACGCCGCTCTCTTCGCTTGTATTGCAAACTAGCTACATTTCAAACAGCAAAAATGGTATTCCAAAAAGGGTTGAGCGAGTACTCAGTGGAAATGAGTATCCAGTAGAGATAATGTACATTTTAGGAGCACAAGTATCATCAGAGAAAATGTGTCAATATCTGTTTTCTAATAAACTATAGAAAATGTTATCTTACTATTGTAATCAAAAACTCTAAAGCTCAATTCTGAGGCTGTTCTGTAAATAGTTTTCTAATAAATATAGCAACTCCTGATCAACCCATTCCAATTTTAGGCCTAAATAAAAACTTCTGGTTAGCCCCCACCAACGAATACAGATCATTTATTTTGTTGAACAGATACAGATACAGATAGTGGAGTACTTTCTCATCCCATTCTAAAATATGAGTTCAGAATGTATTATGGACATGGATACTTTTTACAATGGTTTGGCTGACTCGGATATTCAGCCATATTTATTCGAGCCAGAGAGGAAATGCAGCGGCGAAAGGCCAAGGCTGACACTGCAGTCGCAGCCATACAATAGGGCATGGCTGGTGGGGGCCCTCCAAAACCTTGGCCACCGAGTGCAAACACCAGAGGCCAGATATCCATTGAGTGAGTATTTTTGTCACCTAATGCTATGTTTTGCCTAATGTTATAGGCTAGTGTGGTACTCCCAAAGGGCTGGATGATGCTGGACTAATGTTGTAATACTGAGGGAGTCAAGAGAAACTGTGAAGCTGTGATGCAACTCAGCTAGCATTAGCTTTGTTGTTATATGGAAGTGTGTGTGTATGTGTTGCTGCTGCATGTAAATATGCTTGATAGTTATGCCCTGACGGTAACAATATAGTTACATGTGAAAAAGAAATCGTCAAATTCAGGAATTAATTTGCTTAGGAATGCTGGGTTACTTTGATTAGCAGCCAGCAGCTAGCTTGCTCAGAGATGCAGGCCTGCTGGGTGGGTGTGGGCAAATATAGTATTGCTTCAATTGACTACATTTACCATCTACACTGACTGGCCATCCACATATCCACAGTACCAGTACCTCAACATTGTACTTAGTTACTTTCCAACACTGCCGCCTTCAAGTGATGGAGTGTGTCCATCTTTATAATGTTTAGCCTGTGTGTCATTTAGTGTTCAATTAGATTACGTCCATCATAGCTTAATAAAATATTAGTATTTGAAAGCCTAAGTCAGTGTAGACCTAACCTTCCCTGATTGCCTGATATGAGCAGACTTTGTTCTGTATTAGAGCTAGACATTACCAATCACCAATGATAATGAAATCCACCCACATCACATTCCACAATTTCACCTCTTGAACAACCAGAATAACTGTGATCCATGGACATGAATGTTCCATTTGAATCAATGACAGTTCAAAATGTCACATCCATACATAATCATAAGATTGACCCAGGACTGATGGTTAAGAAACCAACTGCACTGAAACATATGAATCTCCATTCTGGAGTAAGTTAGTGTTTTCATTTGTCAGAGCCTAATGGTGCTATTAGGCAGCTCATTGGCATTTGCTGCCCCACAGAATGAATTCATGCATATGGCTATTCATTCCCAAAGGGAACACATGTGTACGGGCACCCACACAAACATAGATATAGGCAGTCAGTAATACATTTGGCTGTACTCTGTAGACATAATGATAATTTATTCAGTTTACTGTCACCTGTCAGTGTAATTGAGATTTGCTTGCCACTGACCACCCATACTGTCTGTCTGACTGAGTCCCAAGGGTAAAAACAGTGATTGTGGATGCAGCTAGATACAGTAATTCAAATAGATAGCTACTTATTAAAAATGGTATACATGTTCAATACATGCATACAAGAATAGGTTTCCAGGCATACATTAATGACTGTGGATTGTGGAATGACACTATAATTTCAGTGGATGGCTGCAGAGAAAAATGCATGCATACAAACATGATTACATTAACAAAAAATGTCCATACACACCTATGTACACATGTAGAGAAAGAATAATAGCTAGAATTTTAATAATTCAGCACAGTGACACAAATATACATTGACAGATGTTATGCAAATGAATAAACAACACTTCCCGTCTCTGTCAGATCTAGGCTAGACATGTAAACATGGCAACTTCCATGGCAACAAGGGGAAGTTATTGTTGTGGAATCTGAAATGATCTACAGTAATTTCACCAATGATGTAATTCCCAGTGGAGTGTAGTAAATGGAAAGCATTGCATTAAGGTCACATAGTGGTGGAGCCCATTCTTTAAGTTGATTTGCAAATACCTTTAATAACAGATAAATATGCTTGAAAATATGTGTAGCTCCATTCGTTTCACCACCAGTACTATTACTGTGCAACTGACCTGTAGAGCAAACCTGTCTTGTTTTACTTCCTTTCTTGGCCCCTCTCCTCTTACTTCTGTCCAATTTCAAGAACCCTTTTTTTCTCTCACTTTCTCCTCTATTTCTTATTTTCCCATCACCCCTTCTCTCTCCCTTCTCTAATTTAGCTCAATGACGGATCCCCACCTGCCTCTGATAATAAGATACTCCCACCGGCCTTCGAGACTCATTCCCCCAGCATCCATCACCCCCCGAGTCACATTACTGCCCTTTACAAGCACCAGGATGTTTTTCTCCTTAATTGTAGCCGTATACATACCTCACCCCCCAGTAATAATAAATGGCCTTGTCCTCCATTATGGCCATTAGGGAACTCACACTGAGAGTAGCATGCCGCCCACAGTGAGGAGGGCTTGTTTGGCGTCGGGTGTTGTAGCCAAGGAGTGGAAGAATGTCCCTGCATTCTGGAAACACGTTAGGTCATTCAATACCTTGACTAAGAGGGTGCTGCAAAGATGTGTTCTCTCTCTTTCAGTTCATCTCTTGCTTTGTTTCTTCCTCACTGTTCTAGGCAAATACCAGGTTGGAGAGGAGAAGAGCAAAGGAAAGACTCACCCTCCATGGAGTGAGCAACATTATACTGTATGTCTGCAACCAGATGTCTCAGACGGCGAGCCAGTTTCTATCCAATAATATAATAGTACCAACTCTGGTCAGGAGATGGCAGTATGTTCCCATCATATAGCAAACGCCATGCCTTATACTGTAATAGAAAAGCAGGGATGCTTCACAAAAACATTAGATTAGATGCACAGCAGGGCTTGAATGAAAAGGTAGAGGTTGAATGACTGACTATCTGAAAGCCTATGCGCTTCAATGTTCTGGCATTTAGCCTATACGGTGTTGGGACTCTGATAATACAAACATTTTGAGATGTCAAAAAAATTAAGAAATTACAGAAAACCTGACAGTTTGATTTTATGTGGTGATGTTGCATTTTACATTTTAGACTTTTTTCTCCATAACTCATTGTGCATTAAGCCAACAATTGAAAATGTTTTTGAAGAGCTGAGCACACAGCAGCACCCTGCTATCTCTAATTGTTAGACCTTTAATAAATTAATAGACCTGACATATTTTTTAGTTTTGCTGTTTTCTTCCTTTGCACATGTAGTGGATGGAAATTTATGAATGAGGCCACTGTGAGAAGAGCAGCAACAGTAGATGTCTGTGGTGTCTTCATTCTCCCACTGAAATCAACTCTGTTGTTGTGATGCTGAAAACGAATGATGTCATCCTCTCCTGTGAAGAGCAAACAGGTGCAGGCTTGGATGTAGAGTCGCTGCATATTATGTTGCACTTACTGTTTATTGATAACACTTCTGTCAGATAAAATCCAATTCCAAGGTGTCTTTATGTGGAGGCGGTAATTAACCATAATTTTGTTAATAATCAGTAGCCTGGAGGAATCTCTTATCCAGCATATTTTAGCTTAGATGATCAATCTTTGTTTTTTTTAGTGACCCTAGAAGCACATTGAAATATTGAATTGCACTGGATTCATCACATCAATATTAGTAACTACTTTTCTTCCTGTGGTTCCTGGGTATTGTTTTGCGAATATTCTTTTGCAAGGTTTTTCTTTATCATCTTACAAAATATGGATTCTTTTCAAAAGCTGACTTTTATGCAAAAAGACTCAACTCCAACTCACAGTACTTGATATTGTGTCCTTGTCCCTTTTTCTCTTAAACAACACCCACAATCTCTATATAGATTGATTTCATGTGTTACACTGAGACATTTCATCTCTTTTTCAGCAGTCTGCTGTCATGTCTGCCGCTGCATGTCCCTGATACCAACAGACCCATTTACAGATGGCAACACAAGAAACAGACAAGGAAATCATTACGGACAGATTCATAAATATCGGCTGCTCTGTTTCTTTTAATGGTCAGGAGTCAGAAGTTTAAGATATGGGAGTCCTGGAGCTAAAAGACTCAAGGATAGATCAATGTCAGTCGTCAGGGGGAATGAAAGCCAGTCTGGTGGAAAAAGGGGAAAGAAGGAAGGAGCTTCAGGCACTGAAAAGTCATATCATAGAGTCGTCAGGGTGGGCTGTGGTGGTTTCAAATCATGAATTCTTTAATGTACTAAGTCCAAATGGTCCCCTGTGCCCCTGCAGTGCCTTGCCTGGCAGTCTGAAAATAATTGAGGACTTGAGCTATAGAGCAAAGGGAGGGGTGAGTAAAGAGAGGGAGTTAGGATGCGGGACAGAGAGAAGAAGGAAGAGGGAGAATGAGAGAGTGAATAAATGACAGAAAGAGAGAGATGGAGACTCTGCTTTTTACAAAAATTACCTTACCTTTACACTTACACAGCTCTCTTGTGACTCAGGGGCCGTCATTTGTTCGGTCCTCCTGCCCCTGTATCACTCATACTGATGATGAAGCTTTGGTGGAAGGTGGAAGGTAATCTAGTGGCATTTCAGGGAATGGACCTCAGAGGAATACTTCTTTCATCTGAGGTCATTAATCGTAACGTCCAATCACCTCACTCATAGATCAATAGCACAGTCCTGTGCTAAAAATGAAGGCATGAAAAGTGGTGCTGAAGTATAATACATGTGGTATTTGTTCCCCCTCAGCAAGTTTACAGCTGGTTGAGTCAGTGAGTTGGTGCTGTGTGGCCTTTCAGATCATAATGAATGAGCTGATCTAGAGGTTTGTTTGCTTAGGCTGTGATTAAGGACTCAAAACTGCTTGCATGTCAACTTTTGATAAATCTAAATTGAAAATTGTTTGTGTGTGAAGTAGTTTCCTTTTTACTTTTAGCAAAAGACTGTTTTCAGTGTCCCTGAAAAGCGTGTAATGCCGTTTGTTTAATAATGAAAACTGCTGCAAGGCTGCTGCAGTAAAACTGGGGTTTTAAAACCAAGGTTAAAAACATTGCTCTGGGCAGCAATTCTCGATCAGCGCTGTTTGGGAACCTTCATAATTGCCTTTCCTGGTTTCTCAGTTCAGTGGCCACTAACTCTCTTAGCAGGTTGGGTGTTCATTAGAAGTCCTCATTCAGTAGTTAGAAGGGATATGAGTTTTCAGCCAGCCCATTAAAGGCCAAATGTCACCAATTTAACTGTGTGCAAGGCTCATAAAAGAAGTCATGCATGCTATTGATGTTCAGTACCTTTCCATTCTTCATAACGAGCTGCCTGCACAGAACTGCATTGTGTAGAATGGATATCTCTGACTTTAAATGGAGGAATAATGAGCATGTCTATACCATTACAATTGTGTTTCTGTCTGCTCTAGATAGATAATTATTTTAACTCTTGTTTGTCGGATGAGCTCTGACTTGGTTAGGAAAGATATTGCACCAATTTATATTTTTTTAAGGTATAAATATCCATTATCCGGGGTAGCAGCATAACGCTTTGTGCTGTATAGAACAATTATTGATTTGAGTGTTTATTGTGTATATCTAGAACATTTATTTCTTTATAATAACATTATCAGAAATGTTTTCACTGTTCGCTGTTAACTACTTGATACTGTAATAATGTTTGGGTCCAGGGTTGCAAAGTTCTGCAAAATCATAACGAAATGATTCTACTGCCATGCTAGCGGCTCTGTTAGCTAAATGCTAACATCAGCATGCTAATGCTAAGATGGTATAATGCCCACCACCAATTAGAAATTAAACAGAAAGTACAGCTGGAGCTGATGGGAATATTATTAGTTTTGCAGGTATTTAGTCATAAACCAAAGTATTAGACATTTTAAACTGATGACGGTGCTAGAGGAAAAGTTAGGTATGTATCACAATTCCTGAGGGGAATATGAATGTTTGTGCTAAATTCCAGAGCATTTCATCCTGTAGTTGTTCAGATATTTACTCAAATCCACAAACATTAGCCTCATGATGATACTAGAGGAAAAGTCACATGATCACAAAGTCTTAAGGATACATGTTCAGGGAACTATGAATTCCCTTATTTTTCTCTCTCTTTTTTTTGCCAATCAATTTTGTAGATGTTTAGATATTTCGCTGGATAAATGAAAACTTTTACCTTCTGGTGGCGCTAGAGAAAACATCAGGGTATCCCCAGTGCGAAATGTACAAAATTTCAAATGTACTTTTTAAGATATTTCAGTCTGGACCAAAGCAGTGGGCTGACTGACTGACCGACATGCTAGACGCATGTCAAATGACGTTGATTTTGTCTTTGGTTTTAAGTCTTCCAATCTGCTGCGATAGTGTAGAGCATATTACAACATCAACCCAAATGCACTTGTGTTCAACATGAGGGAACAAATAACCCACATCAGCAGGCGTCTCAACATACCCACGAGGGGAGAAAGAAAGAAAGGGATTGGGTTATTCCAAAGATGAATGTGCCTTGCAGCTTTTGGGCACACAACACAAAACCAGCGAAAGGGAACATCGGCATCATTTGATGAGGCATTCCAAATGTCTCGAGGGGACTGAATTGCCAAGGGCTAAATGACAAATATATGTTGTTGGTGGTAGAGCGTGATTCTGCTGGCTGCCCTGAGGTGCTCTTTGGCTGGCAGCCCTATTTCATTTGTCCTTGAAGATGTTGGCTGAAAATGTTGTCATCTGCTTGGGTTGTCTTTTGTGCCTAGTTTGTGTGTGTACAGTACCTAGCCTAAATCTCTCTTCTCTTGGTCTTGGACTTGTGAGTCTCACTTTCCTGCTATCTTTGGCTCGACTCGCCTTTGTTTGGGTTTCCATTGTAGAAATGTTGTACCTGTACCTGCTTCCAGGTACTTTTCTTCATATCACCTCACTTTCGTCGAGGTTCCAAGCAAGCTGAGGGATACTAAAATGTAACGTGAAAACACAGCAGAATGCTGGTTGGTCAAAGAGAATATTCACTATTCACTGCATCATCATTGCTGCACCAGACAGAGGCCAGCAACAGAAAGTTTTATATTTTACAGTTTTCGTATGGAATTTCATCACTAAATCCACTTCTGAGAAGTTTTGAGGTGAGAAATCAGCTGTGTAGATTTCAAATATTTACAGTTTCACGAGAAGTGATGGCGGAACAAAACTGTGCTTGAATATTTTCGGAGTTGAGGAGCTCCGCAAGTGGCTGTGGGGGATGCCTGTGTCAACCCGCGGGAGGAGTGTGTGAGGCCGGCCAGCCGCCCGCTTACTATCTCTGGGTACTATCTGCAATGGAAAATGGAGCAGGGCCAAGTAGAGTCGAGTCTATCGATTTGCGCTATGGTGGCAAGGCAGCATAGATCATCAGAACACCGGCAACAGTTCAACATTTAGTCCTAATGGTAAGATGTGGAACAATGATGTTGTGTGGTAGTGGACTTGTACCATCTGCTAGGTTATGGTCGTAGTCTGAAGCGGCTTTGATTTGGATCACACTACCTTGTTTCTTACGACCCGCCCTTCTCTGCTTCTGATTAGCTAGTAGTCCTTACCTGGGAACTATGCAACTCCCTACAAAGATTTTGTACAAGATGCATCACTCTGTAGCTCAAGAGCGGAGCGTATAACACATAGGGTAATAAGAGGAGCTGCAGCAATGTGCAGTATGAGAAAAATATGGTGTTTTTTGAAAATTAAACCATGTAAACCTGTTCTGGTACAACCCCTAATTAAGATTTTGAACCTGAAAATGAGCATAATACCACCTCTTTAAATCTTCTTGTGTATGCTGTAGTTATAGAACAGAATCTGCAAAAATACAATGATATACAGTCAAAGGCCATACTATAAACTTTTTGGGGGGTGGGGGGGTTAACTCTTTTAGTCTTCAAGTTTAAGGGTTCTACAGATATCCAATGAAATTCTTATGAAACAGTTTTAGAATAATGTAATACAGCTGCCTACACACATAAAACCTACCATTTTTATAAACTGCACCTTCTATACTGTGCAAGACATTGTTCCCATTTCAAAGTTTAATAATTCAAAAAGACTCACACTTGG